AAATTCGAAAATTAAAAGGAAATGGATGACTTCCTGGACAGCTATCATTTGCCAAAACTAAATCAAGAACAGATAAGCAATTTAAATAGACCTATAACCCCTATGGAAATAGAAGCTGTCATCAAAAGTCTCCCAAGCAAAAAAAGTCCAGGTCCAGATGGCCTCAGTGCAGAATTCTACCAGAAATTCAAAGAACAGATTATACCAATTCTTCTCAAAGTGTTCCACACAATAGAAGCAGAAGGGTCTTTGCCAAACTCTTTCTATGAGGCTTCAATAACCTTGATCCCCAAGCCACACAAAGATACAACTAAGAAAGAGAACTTCAGACCAATATCCCTCATGAACATTGATGCAAAAATACTCAATAAAATACTGGTAAATCGGATCCAAGAACACATCAAAACAATCATTCACCACGATCAAGTAGGTTTCATCCCAGTGATGCAGGGATGGTTCAACATACGAAAATCCATCAACGTAATCCACCATATAAACAAGCTGAAAAACAAAAATCACATGATCATCTCACTAGATGCTGAAAAAGCCTTTGACAAAATCCAACACCCCTTCATGATAAAGGTCTTGTAGAGATCTGGGATAACAGGGACATACTTAAACATAATAAAAGCTATATACTGTAAACCAACAGCCAACATCAAACTAAATGGACAGAAACTCAACGCAATTCCTCTAAAATCAGGAACAAAACAAGGCTGTCCACTCTCTCCATACCTTTTCAACATGGTACTTGAAGTTCTAGCTATTGCCATACGACAACAAAGGGGGATCAAGGGGATACAAATTGGGAAGGAAGAGGTCAAACTTTCACTGTTTGCAGACGATATGATAGTTTACATCAATGACCCAAAGAACTCTACCAGGGAACTCTTACAGCTGATTAACACCTTCAGCAAAGTGGCAGGCTACAAGATCAACTCAAGAAAATCAGTAGCCCTACTATATACAGATGATAAAAGGGCTGAAAGAGAAATCAGAGAAATATCACCCTTTACAATTGCCACAAACAACATAAAATACCTTGGGGTAACGCTAACCAAAACAAGTGAAAGACCTGTATCGTAAGAACTTTGAATCTTTAAAGAAAGAAATTAAAGAAGCCCTCAGAAAATGGAAAGATCTCCCATGCTCTTGGATAGGTAGGATCAATGTAGTAAAAATGGCAATCCTGCCAAAAGCAATCTACAGATTCAATGCAATCCCCATTAAAATCCCAGCACAATTCTTCACAGACCTTGAAAGAACAATAATCAATTTTGTATGGAAAAACAAAAGACCCAGGATAGCCAAAACAACCCTGTTCAACAAGGCAACGTCCGGAGGCATCACCATCCCTGACCTCAAACTCTATTACAGAGCTATAGTCCTGAAGGCAGCTTGGTATTGGCTCAAAAATAGACAGGTAGACCAATGGAATCGAATTGAAAATCCGGGTATTAACCCACACACGTACGATCATCTGATCTTTGACAAAGAAGCTAAAAATATACAATGGAATAAAGAAAGCATCTTCAACAAATGGTGCTGGCATAATTGGAGACTGGCATGTAGAAGAATGCGGATCGATCCATGTTTATCACCATGCACAAAACTTAAGTCCAAATGGATCAAAGACCTCAACGTAAATCCAGCCACACTGAACCTCTTAGAAGAGAATGTGGGTGGTACCCTTGAACAAATTGGTACAGGAGACAGCTTCCTGAACATAACACCAGTAGCACAGACAGTGAGATCAACAATTAATAAATGGGACCTACTGAAACTGAGAAGCTTCTGTAAGGCAAAGGACACAGTCAGCAAGACAAAAAGGCAGCCCACAGAATGGGAAAAAATATTCACTAATCCCACATCTGACAGAGGGTTGATCTCCAAAATTTACAAAGAACTCAAGAAGCAAGTCTCCAAAACACCAAAGGACCCTATTAAAAAGTGGGCTGCAGAACTAAATAGAGAGTTTTCAATAGAGGAGTCTAAAATGGCTGAGAGGCACTTGAGAAAGTGCTCAACATCCTTAGCCATCCAGGAAATGCAAATCAAAACAACTCTGAGATACCATCTCACTCCTGTCAGAATGGCTAAAATCAAAAACACCAATGACAATTTATGCTGGAGAGGATGTGGTGAAAGGGGGACACTCCTCCATTGCTGGTGGGAGTGCCAACTGGTTCAGCCACTTTGGAAATCAGTATGGAGATTCCTCAGAAAAATGGGAATAAACCTACCACAAGACCCAGCAACTCCACTCTTAGGCATATATCCAAAAGATGCCCATTCATACAACAAAGATGTCTGTTCCACTATGTTCATAGCAGCTTTATTTGTAATTGCCAGAACTTGGAAGCAACCTAGATGTCCCTCACCTGAAGAGTGGATAGAGAAAATGTGGTACATCTACACAATGGAGTACTATTCAGCAGAAAAAAATAATGGAATCATGAGATTCGCAGGCAAATGGATGACACTAGAAGAAACCATCCTGAGTGAGGTAACCCAGTCACAAAAAGAGAAACATGGCATGTACTCTCTCATATATGGATTTTAGACATAGATCTGGGGAGTGCCAGCCTACAATCCTATGGCCAGAGAGTCTGGGAAACAGAAACTTCATTTAGTGGCTGATCGAAGAAGAGGCAGACTCCCTTGGTTAAGTACTGAGCTGAACTCAAGAAAGCCAGTAACAGAGAGGGAGGACTGATGATCAAAGTGATTAAGACTGGGCTGTTTTAACCCCCAGAAACAGCTGACCAGACAAAGGTTAACTCTTGAATCCCAGGCATCAGCCTGGGAATCCAGCATGGGACTGATCAAGACCCCCTGAATCTGGGTGTCAGTGAGGAGGCCTAGGGAATCTATTGAGCCTTGGGCAGCAGATCAGTACCCATCCCAAGTATACACACGGACTTTGGATTCCCATAGAACAATGTGAGGTGCACTCTCACCCTGAACTCTTGGAGAAGGGTCTAGGCCCTGCCCTATATGAAATGACAGACTATGGACACCCCCATGGAGGGCCTCAACCTCCCTGGGGAAATGAGGGGATAATGGGGGGGTTGGGGGGAGGGCATGGGAGGAAGGGAGGGAATGGAAGAGGGACCAGGAACTGACTTGTGAAGCAACCTCGTTTCTTATCTAAATTTAAACTGGAAAATAAAATAAAAATAAAAACAAAAACAAAAAAACCTTAAGATTCAATAAATAGGACAATAACATCTGACTCTAATCCCAACATTTGGGGAGGTAGAGTTCAAGGTTATACAACACAAGGGGTAAGCCACCCTGGGCTACATGAGATCCTATCTAAAAAAATAAAGAAATGAAAAAGCCAAAAGAGCAGCTAGAAAGGTAACTCACGAATTAAAGGCACTTTCTGCTCTGCTCTTCATAAAGACCTCGTTCAGTTCAATTGCCAGCACATGTAAGCTCACAACTACTTATAAATCTAGTTCTAGAAGATAATAACCCTCTTCTGGTTTACATAGGGAATATACGCAAATGGTACACATATACACACACACTCAGTCACCCACACATAAATAAAAATAAATTTCTAAACATAAAACAAATCAAAACCCCAAGAGCTATGCAATATAACAAAACCTGAATATTATGCAAAATAATACTCAGTAAGGAAATCCAAACCACTAAGATTGGGTCTGACAAACAAGCAACACTAATTTTTCCTTATGATATATACGGAATGTGTCAGTGAAATTATTTAAGTACTAAGAGTTCAAAGAAAACTAAGAGTTAAGCAGAGGGGAAAGATCTTTATTAAAAATTCTTTTTATTTGATAGTCTCATGTCACCCAGACTGGACTCATATTCCCTGTATAAATGAGCTTGAACACCTGCCCCAACTGACTATCCTCCCAAGTGCTGTGATTGTAACCTAATAGGTGGCTTTAATCCTGTTTTTATGAAATGAAAATATTCTCATTAAAGGTATACTCATGAGGTGGTAGAGTGCTTGCCTGTCATACAGGAGTCCTGGACTCTACCCTCAGCACTGACAGAAAAACAAGGAGGGAACAGAAATCCATATTCAGGCACAGAGAAGAAAATGTTTTCAGGAACATGAAGCCAAAACGTCTATAGTAAAGTACCTGAGAGGTGGTAAAATTTAATTTCCTTAAATTTGAGGTTTTATGAAAAAATTTAAGCAAAAATGTAATATACAATGCTTTTATAAGGGGTGTTAAGGAAGTTATATTTATCTTGAAAAATAATGCAAGTTTGATGAGAGCACAGACAGTTTTTATTGATTGGAGGCAGAAAGGAAGACAAAAGAAAAAATGAACAAAATATATACTCAGGTTTAAGATTTGTTTTGTGAATGAGACAATAGATACTTACCACACAAGACACAAAAACCTCCTTTGTGTTCATTTAAAATAACTATTTGAATGAAAAACAAATAAATGGTATATATAATGCCACCCCAATACATTAAATAGTACAACTTATTTTAAGTCACTTTAAAACACAATCTGTGTGTCTAAAAGAGAGGGTAACTAATAAACATTGGGAATGTTGAAATATATTTTATACTTACTTACAAAGCTGCCTTAATGAATGAGCTCTGATTGGAATAGTCTGTACAAGTGTTTTCTCTCGCAAGTTAACCTTGTCCAGCCTCCATTACTACCTTCATCCCAATCTAGAAAAAGCAAACCAACAGTCATTCACACTCTGTGGTAGATAAAACACTTATCTACAAACTATAAAAAATACACACCTGCATAATCCATAAGCACATATTACAATAATGATCTTGTCAGTCCACATATTAGACTTATTGCAATAGGAAGTAATCACACTGAACAAGCGCACTCAGACTAGAAAAGATACTGCATACCCCGTTAGAAGCCTTCTTCTTTGATTTCCAATCATCCAATTGTAACTTTGTCTTTGCATCAACTTTGACAAGTAGCTTCTTCTCTCCGATCTTAAGGTCATACAATAATCTGAGAGCACGGAGGGTAGATTCAGGCTTCTTATACTCACAAAATCCAAAAGCTAGCAATAAAAATGTGATAAATGTTAACATATAGAAAGTAAAAAATACAGCAAACTAAAATGAATAAAGACATTGCTTATGAGGGTACTGAAGTCATTACTCCAATCCTGTTCTTTAGCCCTCTAATAACCATTTCACATTTAACATCTGTGTGTGTGAGTTATGTAAATAAAAATAACATGAGCAAAGGAGAAAAATGGAAATTAAGTAAATTATTAACAAAGAGCAAATGAGGACTACAATAGCTATCAAAAGACAGAACAAATTCCCAATAGAGAAAGCTCATACAGATCCTGAATGAAATAAACATTTAAAATCTAACAATAGAGAACTATAAACAAGTACTTCAATATTAACTGGACAACAATATTTTTCTATATTAGGAAATACAGCTAGTATTTTTAGGTATTATGAATTTATTTTGAATATTTTCCTATAGCCCCTTTTTTCCTAACAAGGAAAAGGAGCAAAACAAATTTTTTATGATTCAGAGTTTATACTAAAATATAGAAAGGGAAAAAGCCAGGCATTGTGGTACACACCTTGGATCACAGCACTTGGAGGAAGAGGCAGATCAGGGAGAATTTCAGACCAGGCTACAGAGTACAAGGACAGCGAGGGCTACAAAGAGAAAAAGATTAGATAGATAGATAGATAGATAGATAGATAGATAGATAGATAGATAGATAGATAGATAGATAGATAGATAGACAGACACAACAAAATGACCAGTGAAATGACTGACATTAAATTGATAATTATTAAAGTTGTATGATGACTGATAATTATTAAAGTTGTATGATGATAACCTTGGAGTTGTTGCTCCATCTCAATTTTATACATGTATAAATTATCCATAATAAAGATATTTCTAAATCAAGACGAGGTACTAAAAATTGCATATATGAAGCACTATACTTAATCCATAGTACCAAAAGGAGAAAGAGGGGCAGGGAGTTAAACAGTGTTTCTGTCTAGAATGAAAGTTAATTTACTTCAAAAGTAATAGGTCTTTGCGGCTGGGAAGCAGCTGCCATAGTAGTGTGAGGACAAGAGTTAGGATACCTAGTACTCAGCTATGTGTTGGTGGCCCACGCCTTTAATCCCAGCACTCGGGAGGTAGAGGCAGGCGGATCTCTGTGAGTTCAAGGCCAGCCTGGTCTACAGAGCGAGTTCCAGGACAGCCTCCAAAACAATACAGAGAAACCCTGTCTTGAAAAACAAAACAAAAAAAGGATAGCAAGTACTCACACAAGAGCAGATGTAACACAGCAAACTCTAGTAATCCCAGTACCCCAGAGGCAAACATGGGGAAACCCTGGCCAAGCTGGCTAGCTATACTAACTAGAATCTACAAACTCCAAGTTCAGCAACAGACTCTAAATAAAGTAGAACAAAGTTAAGACCTAAGAAACAAATCAACCATACCTAGATATACAAAACAAGAAAGAGCAGCTAAAGCTGGGCAGTGGGAGTACATGGCTTTAATGCCAGCACTTGGGAGGCAGAGGCAGGCATATCTCTGTGAATTTGAGGCCAGCCTGATCTGCAAAATGAAATCCAGTATAGCCAGGACTACACACAGATAAACCCTGTCTCAAAAGAGATGCTTGTCATTGCAGGGGACCCAGTTCAATTCCCACCACACCCATTAGCAGCTCATAATCATCTAGAACAGCAGGTTCAGGGAATCTGACACTCTCTTCTGGTGTCTGCAAAACTGAAAACAGGAGGTGCATACATATAGGCACATATTCACATACACAAAGTAAAAACAAATGATCTCGATGGACAGTGTTGACCTACACCTTTGATCCCATCACTCAGGAGGCAGAGCCAAGTGGATATCTTGTTAGTTCAAGGCCAGCCTGCTCTGTAGAGTAAGTTCCAGGACAGGCTCCAAAAGTACACAGTGAAACCCTGATGTGAAAAACAAAACACAGTAATAAATACATAAATCTCAATAAATAAATGATAAGTCATGTGCTATCTATCTTCTGTTCCTGAGCTCTAATCAATCCAACTGGACCAGACGGCCTTCCTTTCGTACTAAAAGGGCCTTAAACATGCAAGAACTAGTGGCAGAATTAGAGACAGCACAGCAATTAAGAACACAACACACTTGTAACAGAAGGCAGATTCCCAGGACCCTTGTCAAGCAGCTGGAAAGCAGCTATAACACCTTCTCCAAGGGATCTCTTCCAGCTTTGGTGGGCACTGCACTCACATGCAGAAAGTCATACACAAACTTTCAGGCAGTTATAAAATCTTGTTTTAAGAAGAAACTACCAGATTTGTTCAGTTTAATGTATTAAATTTTCCTCTTCTACCTCATTTTTGTTTCAACTTTTGAAACTTTCAATCCCAAATCTCAGCCAAAACTTTCTCAATTATCTTTTAATATGTTCTAATAGGAAAATTAAAGTAAAACAAGTTAAGTGACTTATGCAAGCAGGTTAAAGTGGTAGCAACAAATAAAGAAAATATGTATACCTTGAAGTTTTCCAGAAGCACCTTGTACTCTCTTCCAGCTCAACACCAAGCCACATTTCTTAAAAAGAAAAATAAGAATTTACCATTTAACAAGATGAAATAATTTTCAAGACAAGTAAGATGACAATTAAAGGTTACAGAGTGTGGTAGTTCACACCTGTGATCCAGGAGGCTGAGGTAGAACAAACAAGTTTAATGGCAGCCTGGGTCACAATGTGAGACCCAGTTTCAAAATACCACCACCACAAAAAAAAAGCTTAGCAAGATCATGCCAGCAACTAAGCTTGTTAAAATAAATTACTAAGTCTCCCATAAACATGAGACATAAAACAAATTGCTTAAACAAAAAACATAAAGCCTTAACCAGGCAGTGGTGTCACACTTTAATCCTATCACTCAGGAGGCAGAGTTTGAGACCAGCCTGATCTACAGAATGAGTTCCAGGACAGCCAGGACTACAAAGAGAAACCCTGTCTGGAAACACCAAAAATGATCCAGGCAATCATAGAACATGCCTTTAATCCCAGCACTGGGGAGGCAGAGGCAGGCAGTTCTCTGAATTTAAGGCCAGCCTGGTCTAGAGACCAGGTCTACAGAGTGAGTTCCAGGACTGGCTCCATAGCTACTGAGAAATGCTGTCTTGAAATAGCAAAACAGAAAACCCATGAAGCCTTAAGAAAAAAGAAAAAGGAGCCTTACTGACTCCTAACAGAAGAAAACAGGAGGGGAGTATATTCTTTTTCATTTATTCTATGAATTATTTTAATAATATGATATAGGATTGTGTATGACTGATCACAGTCCCTTTGGACAATGTATTGCTTCCCTTGGACTGAATCTCTGCCCCCAGTCCTCATTAATAAATCTTATATCCTATTCCTAGTACCTCAAAACCAAAATAAGAATTGTGACTCACAGGATGGGGTGGTCCACACAGTCAAAATACAGACATAATATAAATAACAAGACAGGCAAAAATGGCATACAGCTTTAATCCCAGCACTTTGGATGTAGAGCCAGGTGTGTATCTGAGTTTGAGGCCAGCTTGGTTAACTCTGTCTTGAACCTCAAAATATAATTTTAAATAAAAATCATGAAGATATCTAAACATTGTTTCTAGTCTGCATAAGATTAAGAATCATCACCTGTTAAAAATCTTCTAATGAGCAGTGCGTTGGTGGCCCACGCCTTTAACCCCAGCACTCAGGAGGCAGAGGCAGGTGGATCTCTGTTAGTTCAAGGCCAGCCTGGTATACAGAGCAAGTTCTAGGACAGCCTCCAAAACAATACAGAGAAATCCTTTCTCAAAAAACAAACAAAAAAAATCTTCTAATGATCAAAATATACTGTATGAAAGCACTTTAAAAATACTTTTAACCTGTTTACTAAGTACTTACAAAATCACAACATATTAACTCACACATTATTAATGAGAAAACAACACTCTTATTATGGTGAGTTTTGATCACTTTAAGTAACTCAGCATCACCAAAACTAGGAATAAAGACAACATGAAACACTTGTGTAAAAAATATGTGATTTGAAACTGAACAAATACTAAGCAATCTCAAGCTCTGAGAAATACTTTATAAATGATCTAGACTTGTGTCAGGGAAACAAGTAGAATAAATAAATGAATAAAATAAAACCAGAGAGCTTGTTCTGTATTATACTATCTAAAGGAGGAACATGTTTAAATAAGACATGAACTCCAAATGTATGCCACCAAACATGGCAACTATGAAGGCTCTTTTCCCCAATGTTAATTTAATAACTCTGTAATGAAGTTATAATTATTGTGAATCACTTTCTTAAACTTCTGTGGAAATGTATAGAATACATTTTTAATTAAAACTGAATATTTAAATCTAATTAACTTGTAAGCCAATGATACATATCATTGCCTATATTCTTGCTTTATTTAACTTAAACAAGGAACTGGGCAAGGCATTATGAAAACCAAACAAGAATTCTTCCTGCATTAAAGACAAACTGGGTTTCTTTTACACAACGAAAAGCTATGACTTGTGCCCAGGATATTGTAGAATCAGATATTGCTTCTGTTCACTGACGAGCCTACTATCTAGAGAGGAAAACAAGTTACTTTTTATACTGGTTACATGTTAAAATAAAACTTTTAGCCATGCTGGATTAACAAATCATTAAAACTAATTTCACCTGTTTCTTGTAACCCTTACAAACATGTCTGTTGGAACATTTAAAAATAATATTTGTGGTTCACGACTTTCAATGGTACAATGCGACTACAAATTGTCATTCCAAGTCGCTGACCACACTTTCCCCTCCTTGAGACCTCCCTGACTTCTCAGCTTCTGTGACAGTGCACTACAGTGACTCTACACTCATCCTCAGCTGCCTCCTTGCCCTCTTCCACCGGGCTCTTTGTGAGTTCCTAAAGCGTCCACCCAGTTTGCTATTCCAACATTTGCTTAATTGACCCAGGTTTACACTTCACAACTCTGACCTCAGGCCATCTTCACCTGCTGACACTTCAAACCACTTACTAACTTCCTTATTTCTCTCTCATTCTCCAAACTTGAACTCAATCTTACACTGTAGCTGAACAGCTCGCTGTCCTGCTCACATTTCTTTTGCACTTCTGTTACTTTAGCTCTCATAGCCCTTAATTATGTGAAAGTTACCTCAATTCTCCTGTACACCTGGAAGGTGTCACTCTCAGCCTGTCTGTGCCAGAAGAGCCCCGAGAAACCGGAGGCCTCCCATTTCCTAAGCAGGGTTCCTCAGTCTCAGCCAGGTTGGACCCAGCCCCTCATTCTGGAGGACTCCCGCTGTGCAGCCTGCAGACTCAGGCCCTGGCCCTCAGCCAGCAACAGAGAACTCAGCAGGCAGGGACACAATCTGCCCAGCACATCCCTGCCATGCACCTTCTCTCTCCAGGCCTGGGCGGTTTACTCGCAGCCCAGGTTTCCTCCTTAGCTGCAGCTGTTGTTTCCCATGAGAACTAGCAGCCCACAGAGCAGGTCGTCCAAGGCCCTCCCTAGAGGCCTCATTGTTGTGGTAATTTCCTGCCTCTGTGACATTTGCCAATAGACAGGGTGAGGACAGAGCTTCCAGACAATCAGGCAGACCAGGAGGGTTGGGGGCTGCAGCTGGCTTTTCTCAGTTTGAACGACAATACAATGTCTAAGATTGTGCACAATCTGAGGCAGCTATAGAGTTTGATGCAGGTCTGGTGTTCTCCCAGGCTACAGGAGATGTCATTTTCCACTTGGTTTTTTGTTTGAGACTGAGAGTCATGTGTTCTGTGCAGGTATCAAACACCATGAAGACAGATGGCCTTTAAAAACCTATTCTGCCTCCAACATGTATGTGTGCACACCATGTCCCGTTTTGTGATATTTAAAACCGAACACTTCCCAGTCCTTCACATCACTTAATTTGGGTTATTTTTGTTTTGCTTTTTGGGACAGGGTTTCTCTGTGTAGCTTTGGAGCCTCCAGCCTCAGGAGGTAGAGGCTGGTTTCAAACTCAGAGATCGGCCAGGCTCTACCTCCTGAGGCAGACATGAACCACCACAGCCTTGTAAATTTGTACAGTTCCCCAAAATGCATGTCATTTATTGTTTATGCCCTCAATCAAAGCGATTGGCATGTACAAAGAACCTGAGAAACTACCCTAAATATTCTAGGCCCCAAATCTGAAAAAGTCTTCCAAGATTCAAGTATGCAGAGAACAGGAAATATTTTCAGTTTTGATTTTGCAACCATGTAATTTTATGTAATTGTAAACACAGATATGCCTCTAATCCTAAATAGATGGAGGCAATGAGTTGATGTCAGAATGGCTTTTTTGTTTTGTTTTGTTTTTGGAGACAGGGTTTCTTTCTGTGTATTGCTTTGGAGGTATCCTGAAACTTACTCTGTAGACCAGGATGGCATTGACCTCTGGGATTAAAGGCATGCACTACGAACACCCGGCCAGACTGGCTTAACAAATTACAGGAAAACCTTTGCTACACAGAGTCAAATTACATTTTCTATTTCCCAGAATGAATTGTTCTAATACTAATCTTTCCCACCAGAAGAATGGCAGCTGGGAGGTGAAGGTTCTTACACTTAAGTAGCTTTTTCCCCAATTGCTCATATGGGAAGAATGCAGACAGTAGAGCAGACCACATTAAACAAACTCAATACACATGTTAGACATGCATAAGATAATACACATTTGTAAGGTTGTTCATTACTTCAACTGCAATCTGACTGATAGAACCAATCTCAACATAAGACATTTTTGTGCAAAGACGTACATGAAGTACTGGTATATATAAATAATAAAGCTAAGTGTTCTGCAACAAATCATAGTTCATCCATGTAATAAAACTCTGTATGAGTTATGTACAAAGACATGTGTGGAGGTATACACAATCATTAATCCTATGATGGTAGAGGCATGTGGATCTCTGTGTGTTTGAGGTCAGCCTGCGCTACAAAGCTTGTTCCAGGACAGCCAGTGCTGTTACAGAGAAACCATGCCTCAAAAAACAAAAGAAATGAAACAAAACTTGGGAACCTGAACAGTGGTATAACAGAATGCAGGTGAGGTCCAATAGTGATTAGTAATGACAAAGCAGAAACTGAACCTGAAAGCAGTACTGAGGAGAGGAGCCTGCCAGACTAGAGTATGAATGATTAAATCATTAAAAGCAAGAGACTATCAATGAGGCCATGTCTATAATCAATTTGCATATGATCATAATTTGCTTTTACTCACATATAGTAAAGAACTATCATGATTATAACATATTTAGTTATCTTTAAATCAAAAACTGTCTCATTCTTTATAATCTTGCCTAGAAAAAAAACTCATCCACAAGAAATTTGAAAAAGTTTTCTCACTAATTCTATTTACTCTATACTCTGTAATTGGGTACATTTTCCAATACTGTAACGCTGTTGTACTCTAAAGTTTTCCTTATATTACCAAAAAAGAAATGGAGTATCGTTGATCTTGTTTTTTTTTTTTGGAAAGTAGAGACCAACATGGGCCACACAATGGGACCCAGGTCATACCTAGGCAAAGAGAGGGAGAGAGAGAAAGAAAGGGGAAGTTTGGGGAGAAGGAAGGAATTCAATTAAA